AAGAGGACTGTGTCTCGCAAAGAAGTTATCGCCATTCAAAACATTAATTAAGTAAACAAAACAGTCTAGCGACATTCATTGACTTCGTAATCGACTTGAGAATGATCCCAAAGAAATTTACTTTAGTATTAAACTTACAAGTATATTTACTTGTAAGTTTTCATGAATTTGCATGAAAAAGTAATGAACGCAACGTGTCTTTGGCGTACTCATTTCAAATGACCAAATTTCGCTTCTCTCGCCGTCTCGTCCGACATTTAATTTATACGCCAAAGATTCCTTCCTGCTCTAGTTACGTAGATAACAGTTTCTTAGAAAGAAGAAAAAATATTTTGGTTCCAAAATTATTACTTAGACTAATTCATATTATCTGTTACGCCTAATAGATAGACAATGAAATCAGTTGTTGAAAAAAGTTATTAGTTACTTAGTGTTCGCAACTCTCTAGCTTTTGAATACTGACTGATCAAATTATTTAATCATTTTGACTACCTATTACGATTACTATAGTTTCAAACTATTATTCATAATTGCTGATTAACCACTTTGACCGCAAAATACGAAAATTCTGTTAATATGGGGTGCAAATATTATTTTTTATTCATCACGCTTCTGCAAACCATAACTACAATTCCCAATGTTGGTTTATATGAGAAGAAGTTACTAAGCTGCTATTTGTAGAAGGAATACACAGAGATCTGCCATTGAATTCTGAGTTTTTTTGCACTAGTAATAGACTGTAACTGTCACCGTTGTATGAAATAATTGATACTACTGTTTTGTTCTGCTTCTTATTTTATAACTCGATTTTAGATCAAATTAAACGTCAAATTAAAATAACATTATTTTGTATAAACTGATAAGTAGAGATATTTGAATTGTCTTACATTTGGAAATGATTCATATTATGGTATAGTCATTTTCATAATTTACTATAATTTAATGTTCTAAATTGCTGCTATTTTTTCAGTTGCTTTCAGATCTCTCTTTTAGTGAAGGTGTTATGTGCGCTCTCAGGTGCATAGCAAATAAGTCCACTGCCCCTGTGTATCAATACGTCTTCAGTGCCGAAGATCAACTAAACGCAATGAAGAAATACTTAAAAATAGATCTACCTGGTACGTAAGGTGTTACTGTACTTCCGAAATGTTTGATAATATTCTTTAAAAATATTTGTAATGCAATATTTTCAAAGCTTTACTTATTTGTTATTCGCAATATGTCCGTTACTTGACTACTAAATAAAAGTGAAGTCTTAATTTTCGCTTGCAGATGCTCAAATTTGTTTTGTGGAGTATAATAGTACTATTTCGTGTTAATTACCAAACATGGAATTTTACGTTATTCAGGTTACTTTCGCTCATAAAGTGTATGCATGTACTAGTTTTAGCACCAAAAATACTACAAATACACAAAAATACTACAAATATACAAAATATTTTTTTCCGATGCACAACCATCCCGTATGCACAGACCCAAATTCTGTATATTTTCCTCTGATCCGTATTTTTACACAACTTTTATTTTTAACTTAACGACTCTAAAATTCCTCTATTTTTGTTTACTTGAGAGGCTATAAATGATCAAAAAAACTAATATCATCGCAAAACTCATTGCCAGACGGACTAAGTGTAAATCGAAACTTCAGGAATTCAGCACAGTACTCAAATTATTAAGAGTTATCATCGCTATTACATGATTTGAGGTTGATTCTAGTTTGGCGCTGCAACAGTGGAATAACTGAGAAGAAAACTTGTTTTTCAAGGGAAGAGAATTTTGAGTTCGTTTTTGACGTACAGCGATGCAATGGCGACACAACATGCGAGACATTTTCAAACCACGAGTTTGCCAATCTACCATCAGAACAATCTTGATTTATTTAATTCTTATAAATCAATTCAGGCAATTTTCATGCCATTATTGAATTACTTTCACATGCCTATTACGTACATTTTTAATTTATTTTCATTTTCAAATTGTTCCTACGAGAAGATTTTTTAAAGTTGCGTAATATAGAAACGTATTTGGAAGAAGTACTTTGTTAATAAGACCTATTCAGACAGTTTCAGGTTTGGCTCTCTGATTTCAAATTATCTTCCCTTCGGAAAGAGCATTGTCCTTTACATAGATGAAAAAAGTAGATTTAGTTCGTTGAGGAAAAGATTAAAAGTATTGTTTTTTTAAATGGTTTAATGTTGCATAGGACCGGAAAGAAGTGAAAACGTCAGATATAACCTTAAGTGTTTTATTTTTAGGCGCATGCCACGGTGATGACATGGGTTACTTGTTCGATTTGGGATTCGTTCAATTGGACGCCCCGGAAGATTCGTCAGCCGCCCGCACGCGTCAGCGCTTGGTTCGGCTGCTGACCAACTTTGCAAAGAGCGGGTAAGCGAATTCGGTTCGTTATATTATTACTGTTACGAAGATGTGTCCTAAGAGAGATAACAGGGAGGGAATTAGATGTCTTTTGGAATACGTGTAGATGTGAACTATTTATAAAAATTGAAGGGAATTATTTCATTTACACTTACATCAAGTTAGTGTAATTGTAAGTATGTGTTTACACGGGTATTGATATGTAGTAACTCTGCAAATGACATGTGTCAAAATGAGTCTCATAGATTTACGTGCATGTTCTTGTAATATGGCCTCACTGCGTTTCCATTTAACTCTGACAACACGTTTACTCGGTTTTATCACACTTCATGTCATTCTGCTTGACATGTTACTACTTGCTACATGGCTAAGGTAAATTCGCTTCAGGACTATATGCAACGGAATGTTAATTTTGGTATATTGAGCACAATTTATATGCCATCATTTCCACCGCATGGTTTGTAATGAAAGCATGAGTCTAAGAGTAGATCTGAGAGACTGACAAAATCACAAAGATGAAGATCGGTCGATTGATTATAATGGCAATTGTATTGATTCATTGTAAACAAAAATGTCTTCAGATGTTGATAATCATGATTACTGATAAGTGTTGGAACTGACACTTTTACCGCACGAATAAATTACCACACGAATTTCGCAATAGGGTCTTGACAGATTGTGACTCACTTTTCTTCAACTCCATACCTTCATACAGCAATATGTACAGGTTGCTATAGCCCAACGTGTTAAACAGCTGTCTCAAAGAACGTACTCGTAGCACAAACACACATTTTATCTTGAGTGAGATTACTTTTACTACAGTGTAATATTTACTACTTATTATTAAAATCATCGCACACTGATGAAATATTTTGCCTTTCCAATTATCTTTTATATGTGAATCGCTGCATTACTAAAATTAAAATATCTATGTATAATAATCAAATAGGCGACATATTAACTCATATTCCAAAGTGTTTAAGGTCATCATTAATTTTTGGTTTCCTATTCTAGCTCTTATTGTATGTTTCCTAATTCAATTCTTCTGCAACTTTCTTCTTCAATTTTTTCCAAATAAACATAAAACTACATTATTTGAATACAAGCAATTATTCATTAAGTTTGCTTAAAACTCATTGCAATTTTCATATTATATAAAATTCGACAAGAAATTTTCAATTTTACTGATCCAGAACTTTAGTAAACACTGTTTTTGATCTCGTTAATATGAAAATATTGTAATAAAAACTGGATTAAAGTTTGAGAGCAATTTAATAGCGAATTTGCATAAGAAAAAGTCAATGTACGTATGGAAGTGGCGCAGATCGTGTTGCTGTGATACAATTGTTATCTCATGTATTGAAATATATTTATACATTTCTAACAAAATGATAAGAGAAACTGATTTATAAAACTGACAGTTAGGCTATAAATTGGTCACAAAACGTGTGCATTTCGTTTCGTTCTGTCTTTACGACACGCGCAAAATTAATGCTTGTTTGTAGATTACCACTTACAGAATTATTACCTAAAATACGTAGATCAAGCCAGCTAAATTCTTTTCAAATAGTGTTATTTTGAACGAGTGAAACAAATTATAAATATTTAAACGTAAACTTAAACCAAAACATCACAAAGAACGTTCCTAATATTCTGTTGTACATTATTGGCATATGTCGTTTCGACATGCCCAATGTCCGAAATGCTACTGTAGAATTAATTATTTTTAAAGTAACATTATAGTATGAATTACCTTTCTTTTTTCAGAAACCCAACTCCTGAAAACGACTCTCTGCTAGGTGCGTGCTGGAAGCCCTATACCAAAGACGAGAGAAACTATTTAGAAATTGGCAATCAGTTGCGAAGCGACACAAACCTCTTCGCTGATCGTGTTGCGTTTTGGGAAACCTTTTATGAAAAATATGGATCATAACGACTGTCATTTCGTAAAAGGACATTTTCTTTTCACATTATTCCATTCTGTCTGCTTGTTTATAATAGGAAACAGGAATTTCAGTACCGAGATCGAATATCCCGACATCATGTTGAGATCCTGGATTCTCGATACCACTTGTAAGCCGAAGAGAAAATCTATGGGTAAAATTGTCCGCTGCCAAATTTTATTAATGTACGAAATGCTGATTGTTATACGATGATACTCATCATCCTATCATTATATTTGTCTGACTAAAAATGTATATTACGAAAGGGACAGAGTTATGTTTCCAGACAGGTTACAAGTGTGTCGAGATCCCGGCTGCCAAACTTGAGATAGTTTAGGAAATGAATTTTGAATTTCCGTTTTGTAATTTTCATTTTTTGTAATTTGAACTAAGAAATTTTATTTATTAAACAAATGTATATGAACATAGTTTATTAAATCCTGTCTTCGATTCAATACCTACGTTTGAATAATTGGCCTATATTGTTGTGTGATGTTTAAAGCTCTAGAAGAAAATTACAGGCAAAAAAAATTCTGTAAACACACATTTTGCTAAACGGTGATATTTCTGACAAGTCACACGAACATTGTAAAAATTTTAATTATTTAAATTTAAAAATAAACATTTATTTTAATAATTTATTGCCCTAAATTATTAGACATATAATTTTACCAATAATGTACCACTTTCCTCACCACCTGGAATTAAATGACTCTTGTTGAGCTGACATTTTCATGTACACTTTACGGGGTATTCACCATATACTACTCATAAATGGCGTGTCCAGGCTTGTTACAAGGTAGCACACTGTGTCAATGACACCCCTACAAGGTGGACAGCAGGGACAACTTGCCCCCTACACCATATATATTGTATAAAATGAATAAATATTCAAGTTTAATAAATTATTTTGAGGAAACAATTTAAAATAGAATTTTAAAATTGTACAAAACGTCTTATCGTAAACACTTTTTTCCGAATAAAAATCAAAGTTTGCCAAAGATGAATTACAGCGGATTAGTGGTATCGAATAGTGCCACCTGCAAAAATTTTATGGATTCAAAAATATCTCGTCTAATAATATGTGAGAAAACATTTCTTATCTATCAAATAGCATTAAATGGCGTGAGAAATTGCTGCTGCAAGTAAAGTTTTCAATCAATCGCAATGTTATTTAACAAAATGTATGGAATTTAGTTTTTTATGTATAGCGTTTTTCTTGGTAGGTATGCTAATTAGTAAGTAGTACTTACCATCTTGAGTGTTAATATTCATGTTGCACAAATTTTCAAATTTTCGAATTTGGTAAATATCTTGATTTGGGCAAACTTGGTATTTAGTTTATTATATTTATCCGTTTTCTGATGTTATGTAATGCTGAGATACGGTACTACCATTTAGATGTTAATATCTGTTTGCACAATTTCAAAATGTGTATTGGTATAATCTATTTAATTCGGCAAACGTCTGTACAATTTATTTTATGTATGTGCATGTTTCTTGTATGGTATGCAAACTTAACGTTATAGCGTGACCCACATTTATGTTGAATATTTCATGTTGGGATTAGAAGAAAATTCTTAAAATGGGTATAAATATGTCTTTAATTAGAAGAAAACATGGGATACAATTTTAATATTGGATAAATGGGTAGCTACTTACGACATCTCACACCGCTTTCCTATTGTGACACATTCACAACGTTCATTCAGATTTTAGAAGTGCCTTCCGCTCGCCAGCTGTAATATATAATAAAAATAATAAAAAATAAAATAATAATAATGATAATAAAATAAATAAAATAAATAAATAAATAAAAATAATAAATAATATAAAAATAAATAAATAATAAATAATAAATATAAATAATAAATAAATAAATAATAATAAATAAATAAATAATAAAAATAATAAATAATATAATAATAAATAAATAATAAATAAATAAAAATAATAAATAATATAAATAATAATAATAAATAATAAATAAATAAATAAATAAAAATAAATAAATAAAAAATAAATAAATAAAGTAAATAAATAAATAACAAATAAAAAAATAAAAATAAAGAAGAAAGAAAGAAAGAAAGAAAGAATGAAAAAAAAGAAAAAACAAGAAGAAAGAAAAGAAAATGAAGCAAACAAAAGAAAGAAAAAAAGGAAAAAAAAAAAAAAAAAAAAAAAAAAAAAAAAAAAAACAAGAGAAGAAACAAGAAAGAAAGAAAAGAAAAAGAAGAAAGAAAGAAGAAAGAAAAGAGAAAAGAAGAAAAAGAAAAAGGAAAAGAAGAAGAAGAGAAGAAGACATAATTATTAATATAACAATGTTTTATTTGGCGAGCCCGGTATTTGCCTGCTCTTCCCTCAACTAATATTAGCAAAGTAGTCACGGGTGGTAAGTGGTTGAGTTGGCGACTGAATTTGAAAATCCTAATATATTTAAAGTTCTGAGAAGAGAAAAAAGTTTGGTTCCCAAAATTTGAAAATTCTACAATATAAATTGAAAATTTTTAAAGGAATGAAAGCAAAATGGCTGCGGATAATGTCGGATAATCAAAATCTTAAAACTCTCTAATTAAGTCAGATTTTCAGATTAAAAAATTTTGGCCAAAATCAAAAACTAAAAAATATTTGACAAAAAACCCTTCATTTGCAACTGAAAATTAATATTTCTACGGATCTGATTAGATTCTGGGTGGACGAAAAAGAATTCTAAAAAAAGTTAAATTTGTGTCGATGTCAAACATAGATTATCAATTTTCATCTTGTTTTTATTCCGCATAG